CATAAATACATGATCACATACATACATACATACATACATACATACATACATACATACATACATACACACATACATACATACATACATACATACATACAGACAGACAGACAGACAGACAGACAGACATACATATACATACATGCATGCATGCATGCATGCATGCATGCATGCATGCATACACACAATTATGTGTGTGTATATATATATATATATATGTATTTGTGTGGTTATGCATGCATACCAACTTTCAGCAGGGACAGAGATAAAGAGGGACGAAAAGTCTGCAGATAATGATATGCAACGGAGGAATTGCACACGCGACTGCACAGTGCACGACAGAAGTACGAACGGAAGACATCAACGAGGCAATAAGTAGAGTGTAACAAGTCGGGGTAGTCATGCCTGTGCCAATACTGGCACCAAGCTTCGGTTCTGCCTGGTTGCATGAACGCCTACCTGTAAGATGCGGACGCTGGCCACTGCGGTCACAAGCTCGGACTTACATTCAAATTTCTACGCATCAAACGGAGGGCCGTCAGGATACGGACTTGTGTAAACAACTATGTTTTTGCATCATGTACTGGTGGGCAGGGTGTGTTCGACATGGTCACGTCGTCGAACAACTACGTCGTGAATCCTGAGTCTGGTCCAAAGTTGTACCAGAGCAGCTCCAACCGACCGAAAGCACCGACCGAAAGTACGGTGTACCTTCGAAGGTTCAACACCTGTACATGTGCTCAGGCTGTTTGAAACCAACCTGTTTGCACACCTTGCCAACAGGCTGGTGCCGTGTTGAAAGAGTTTTGCGGGAACTCTCGCGAGATGGCAGCTGGATCCTCATCAAAAGCAACTTGGTCACGCCTTGGGATCTCGCTCTCTCTCTCTCTCCATCTCCCTCTCTCCCTAGCTCACCTGGCTTCCTTGCATGATCTTGCATGTTTCATTTGTATTGAGGATTTTCTGTACTCAAGGTAGCCTGCAACAAAACATCCATTGCGGTCCAATACCTGAGCCGGCCCCGTTATTCTGGAACCTACGGAGTTGCAGAAAATAGGGGGCCTGGCTTAAGCCTCTGATTGTAACGACGGTCAACTAGCAATCTGTGCAGCCAAGGCGCTGAGTGCTTTGAGCTTGTCGGCACAGAGCTTGCCTTCGTTAGTGGCGCCGTCGGTGAGGGCGAGTTCACGCTGGCACAAGACCGTTTCAAGCTTGCCCCAGTGCTTCGGCTTTCTCGTACTACGAATACCTCAGTGCCTCCGTATTGTCCTATCTACCGGGTGAATTCTCGTCAGTTCGATGTTGGGCAGGGATGTTGTTTGTGCATAGCTCCTTGGCTGTCTGTAGAATCAGGGTACCTCATGGACTCGTCGTTGTGCGCCTTGTCTGCCTGTTGAAAGATGGGCTACTACTGGTCGCGCATGAGCGGTGCATTCGCGGGGGTCGACGAGGCTAGGTACAACACCATTTGCCCATTGATTGGCGCAATGCGGCAAACTGAGGTCTTGAAGGAGGCAGTCAGGCGAAAGCTGTTGGACTGCCTCGCATCGTTCGACTTTGAATCTTACCGGCTGCATCTGAACATGCAGACCGTTCATCTGCGAGGCTTGAATACCGATCCTGTGACTCGGACAGGTCTAGGGCTTGTTCTTCGGTTGGGCATCTCAGCAGGGCAGCATCAAGGACACAAACGTGCGAAGATCCACCAGGAAAGCCCAACGCAGCACCTGAGTATGTAGCTAACGGTACTCTTCCTAGTGCTAGGCCGTAACGGTGTTGCCAATTGCGCCAGTCAGCAGAAGGCCATTTTAATGCCGACCATGCCTACACATCCTGAAATACTTCCCTCTTCCTCAAGAACCACCTTATCCGCTAGTGTTCTGTTGATTACTACTGCCATTGGCCATGACTGCAACTACTAATACTACTACTACTACTACTACTACTACTACTACTACTACTACGTGCCAAGTGGGTGACAAAACTACTAGTACTACTACTACTACTACTACTACTACTACTACTACTACTACTACTAGTTTTACGACTACGACAACTACCATTACTATCACCACCACTACTACTACTACTACTACTACTACTACTACCAACACTACTACTGCCACTACCACTACCACCACCATTACCACCTTTACTGCTACATCTACTACCACATCTACATCTACTACCATCACTACTGCAACTGCTACTACTACCCCTACTACTACTCCTCCTACTACTCCTACGACTACTGCTACTACTACTACTACGACGACGACTACTACTACTACTACCACTACTACTACTACTACTACTACTACTGCTGCTGCTGCTACTACAACTACAACTACAACTGCTAGTAGTAGTAGTACTACTATTACTACTACTACTACTACTACTACTACTACTACTACTACTTCTGCTGCTGCTGCTGCTGCTGCTTCTGCTTCTGCTTCGCTACAATGCCAACGAGGACAATGCCCGCAACGACCACGACGTGCTACTACACCACGACTACGCTTAGGAACATGCAGCAGCGACTGCCACTGCTACTATGAGAAGTTGTAGCAGTGAAGTGGCCACGGTAGTGGTCGTTGTCGCAGAAAGGATTTGTAGCAGCTGTGCTTTGTTGGCATTGGGGTGATTGGTTGCGATAAGGAAGCGTATAGTGCACAACCAACAACCAGGATCATAATGTCAGCTGCTGCAAGGTAGTTGTGACACTCTATGTTTTGCTGTTGCTGTTTCAGATGTTAAAATTTAACAGGAAGACTCTAGGTTGCATGATCACGAACGTACTGTCCAATCCACCTTTAGATCGATTTCAAGTCGGTGAGCAGATTCACGTTGTTTTACTTACTTTGCTCCGAGGATCGGCCGTGCAATTGCTTTTTAGTTCAACTTTGTGGTTCATCTGTCACGTCCCCGTCCCTCCACCACGGGTGTGAAACATGATGGAGTGCATCTTCACTGTCCGGGAAGGTGGGGACTTGAAGCTGAATTTGACAAACTTCGCTCGCTTGAAATTGCAATGACGACCATGTCCGCTAGTGTTGCCACCAGCAGTCACTAGCATTTCGCATGATACCGTTGACAGCCATCGCCACACGCACGGTGAATATCAAGTTTGACAGAAAAGCAGTATCATCACAATAGTCCTTATCACCGCTTCAGGTGACGGATCTTGTTCCTGGTTTCGAGCCGGGTTTCGGTGGCATACCGGACGTGGTGGCAGAGTGCCCAGATGCATCTCAAAAGTTGTGTGGTTTTCATGTGTGCGGCCGTCTTGGTGAAGCTAGTATGCCGGTCCATAGTCGTGTCTGCGGACTAAGATCGAGAAGTTTAGAGTTTGCAGGTTTCTACACCAGAACGGCTTCCGAACCGTCCTCGACATCGATGGTGCCGGGTGGGCTCCGGTGCACTATGCCGCATTGGGTGGGCGAACAGACGTTATTGAAGGACTGTTGCGGCAACACGCAGACCCCAACAGGCGGACTTCCAAGGACCAGCCGAAAGCACCCTAGCTTGCAAGCTTGCGCCGCAGGGTGCAGGCGTGGAGGATTTGAACATATGTTTTGGAAATAATGTCAATGTGACAATGTAATGCGTGTGTGTGTGTGTGTGTGTGTTATGTGGGCCAATTATATAGGCCGATCGTGCCTAGGACCTAGGAAGGCTGGAAGCTGAAGCAAACAGTGAAACTGGTTGGTAAGTGGTATACGAGCGAAGTAGTTTGCGAGCTTTACCATTCCTGCCGGCACACCTCCTCAACATATCAAAGCCCTGCGCAACAATGCGAAACGAGTCTGTACACCATGTCGGCCTCCCAAAAGGCAGTAGTAAAGGAGCTGCGGCAACGCCCCCATGCCATGCCGCGTATGCATGCCACCAATGATTCCACCCCCGGTAAGATTGGCATGGTGGGGTGCAGGGAGTGCGAAGACCCTACATGATCGTGCGTGCGGACACAGTGAAGTCTCGAAGTTGCCCAAGTGACACAGGTATGTATATTTATGTGTGTGTATCTATATGTACATGTACATATAAATCTGCGCTGAACTGTTGACATGTTGCTCCTCGGCTTGGTGTCGAATAAGGTAGGGTGTCCTGTCTCGATGTCGGCACTCGACCTCACTATGCTCTTCAAGCACAGCGATGCAGCACGCCTGCTCATAGCCGCGGGTGCTCGCATGGATGGCAGTATGATGCCGAGCATGGCCTATGCGTCGATATCCAACAATCCAGAAGGGATCCGCATTCTGTGTAATGCGGGTGTTGACCCACACACAGAAAATCAAATCAATATCCCAATGCTTGATTTCTGCAGTGGCTACGGGTCGCTTGCAGCGGTCGAGGCTCTTCTCGCCCAGGCGCTTCCTGGGACGCTGAATTTGTCGCAGGCCCTCTGGGCCTCGATGTGGTGCTGTCGTGGAGGCACGGCAGAAATGGTCGAGCGCCTGGTCGGGCTCGGGGCAGACGTGAACCACCAGCGCAAGATGAGAACCGGCTCGGCACTCGACATCCTCCAAGTAGCCAAAGCCAAGTCACTTCAGCACCAGTCTGTCGAAGCCACAACTTTGGCGGCCGCTCGGATTCCAGCCCATCAATTTTCGATTTTCTGCCTAGTGACGGCGTGTATAAGGCAAACGAGTTGCTGTTGCAGTCTCTCTTTGCTTTCGAGAGCGTACACAATACGGCTATGAAATACATGCGAACCCTTTCAAGGCTCTTTGGTACCACATTCGCGACATGACGCCGCTGATGGGAGCTATAATAACAGCCCAGTACGAAGGTGCCGCTGCCCTCATCGCTTGTGGTGCACGCCTAGACTTGCGAAGCTTTTCAGGAGCAGTTCCTGTTTCGTTGTTTTGTATGTTGCTTAGGGAATTTAGGGTTGATAGTAGGTTGAAGCAAACTACAATTAGCGCAAGCTGGTTGAAGCTGCCAGTCTGTCCTTGTTGAGGTCATTCATGCGTATACTGTGGTAGTATGATGAGCATAATTGGTGCAGATGTGCTGTTCATGGTGGTCGTTTATGCTTTCACTGGACTCCAGTGACTGGATTTGTTTCATGTTGCCATCCGGTGCCCAGGAAACGCAAATGGTTGGACCGCAAAAGGCTTTGCAGCAGGCCAGTCAATTCCTCGTTTTCTGAAACTGGCATTCGAGGGGGATGCTTCGGAATGTTTAAAGGTGTACAGACTGGCTTTGGCCCACACCTCTGTTGAAATCTGAGAAGATTTTTCTCGCGCCATACTGCGCGTTTCCGGTCAAACTTGCGAGTCGGCACAGATCAGTCGTGCTTTGTCTGACATCGAAGGCAAGCCAAAGAAACCCCCTGCAGAAAACCGCAAAGCGGCAAGCAGGTCCGAAGTATGGCCGGTTGTGCCATGAAAATTGAATCATTCTCCTGTGAATCTGTCAGACAGATGGTGAAGAGCGTTGCCATGAGACCACCACTGTTTGGTCTTTCAAATCCCATAGGTCGTCGCAGGGGCTGCCCTCATAGAAACCGTTATAGAACCCTCATAGTACCCTTTTAGAACCCGCCTTAAATAGATCCTTTTAACAGATCGTCAGAAGGGAGCCCAGTGGGCCGAGAGCGACAGGTCGGATCGACTCGCTTCTCGGAGACTGCGCGGAGGTTTTACCAAACTTAGGGTTTATAGGGTTATATAGGGTTTAATTGGTTTAGGGTGTAATTAGGGTATATAGGGTTTAGAGTTTAATTGGTTTAGGGTTAAGGGCCACTGGATGACCTTGGAGTACTTTTTTGCGTTTTGGAGTCCTGTCTCACGCCTGAAGCTGTAGCAGTTTGGGCAGTTGCCCTCGTGTCCAGGAAATCCTGCGGAGTTTGCTGCCCCGGGCCAGGCGGTTAAAAGCAACCTGAAGCCAAAAACGGGTGGATCGGGCACTGAAGTCACCACATGCCTTCAGGCTCGTCAACACAACACCACACATCATAGTCCGGGCTCGTTTTTGGTTTGCAGATCCTTCGGCTGCAGATGCCAGGGTCCAGTTCTGCGCCAGACGATCTGCAAAAAGGTTTGCCAGAGCAATGACGGAAGGCGGCTTGAGGAGTCCCCCTGAATTGTCACGACCTGCTCAGACACTAGGCTCACCAGGCGGCCTAGAGTCAAGACTTCTTTGCCGCTTTGAGCCCTTTTTAAGTATATAATCATCATAAGAAGTTCCTAGTTACGTGAAGAAAGCTTCTCTGAACCCTGAACCAGCACGAACAGGCTCTCTAACTGACGCCCAGCACCAACTCGTCACAGTGTGCGAAGCGTAAGCCGCCATCAGCAACTAGGCCTCACCAAGCGCGTCTGGAGTTCAGACTGTTGGAGACACCCAGCGGCCCACCCCAATCTGGAGCCCCCACTGCGGCGGCTGCCCAGGCTCCGTCCAGGGCAGGACTGCTGCACCTGAGTGTCGAACTCCAATTTCTTTTGCGCGCTTTGGGGGCCTAGCTGTTTGGGACAGTCTTGGGGTCAACATGGGAGGGATGAAAGGGTTCTGTCGCAGTGCGGAAGCAAGGCTGAGCGGCCGTGCGGCTTTGGTTGCGGGGCCTGTTCATGTTTGGTGCACAAGCTCTTGCATTCAGATGTTGGTTACTGGTGTGGGCGACAGGAGAGCTGCAGGCGGAGCGGTCTGTAAGATGCTAGAGGGTGCACTGTTTGCGAATCAGAGTTTGGTTTGTGGCCTTGGTGTGTGCATCAAGAACCTGACAGGCTTGAGTGTTCCGCGGTTCGGGGATCCGTGTCTGCCTCTCCTTTCGGAAGTAAGCCCTGTTCGGTACCGCAGCAGGTGTAATGACGTTGCAGCAGGTCCGGTTCTATCCCTGTAGGTCGCGGTGAATGGCTCCAGCAATCTGACTCAGACGAGATATTCAGTTGGCCGATCAAAGAACCCAGAACCAGGCTCCGTTCAAATCCGAGGTGCTTGCAGATGTCCGGCGGCAAGTTGTGCGGTGTTACAGGCGTCTCGGCTCTAGTCTCCCATCCGAACCTGTCGGCATGGGAATGTGGGCCCGCTGGCGGATATGCGACGGAACGGCGCGCGAACTCTAGACGCAGGCGGGCAGAGTGAGGGCGAAGTATCTGTGAGAAGTTCGGCCTTCGAAGGTGAATACTATTTCGTGGTTGCCAACGCAGCCCGGATGATACTCGATCTTAGACCGACAAACATGAAAGTCAGTCGTATAGTCCTACAGGCGGTTCTAAGTCGAAGTCACACTCGTCGTCACAGTCATGCACATGCAGAAGTTGCTGGCGCCACAGCAGGCGCAGCAGCACCCAAAGAGAACCCTAAACCCGCCCAGCGAAAATGGCTCGCCGACGGGTGGCAGTGCAAGCATCTAGCTGCAGATATAGACTCGAGACTTGGTTCGGATTGGCCGAAGAGTGCCACTGAACTCCCTACTTGGAAGTTCCGACGAAGAAGGTGTTTGAGGTGTAATACGCTATTGGCAGCATCTCGATACACCAAGCTGTATATGCCTGCATGCTGAGAGTGAGAAGGCAGCATCCAAGATGGTGGCGCGCGGGGATGGACGGTGCACCAGCCCACCGCGACAGCCCCTCGTGTGCCGCACCTTGGCCGCTTTGAGAGGGAAAGTGGTCTTTGAGCCGTTGGTATACCTTTACCCGCACAGACCGGCAAGATTAGATGACATCGTGACGAAGCAGGAACATCCGAGGTTCATCTCTGCGCGGGAACTACATCAGATGTGTTATGGCGTCCCGGGCATGCGCAAGTCGCAGTCCACCGCGCTGGCGATCACCAAGCAGGCATGCGCACCGGAATTGTCCCTGGTACAGTAGAGATCTGCGGTTCTGAAGCCATCGTCGTCTTCATGTGTAATTGAACAGAAGCCTGGAGGCCCGTTGCTCGCGGGTCAACGGGACTGCGGAGGCCCAGGGCCCTCAGCCCTCGATCGGGATCTCAGGGAAGTTGTTGAAGTTGGGCTTAATGGCTCGGAGGCTTCGATGCCGACGTCGTACAGGTTAGGACTTGGAGCTAGCCAAACAGAACCCTGAGCCGAAGGATATGAAGGAGGGGTTAGTAGAGAGAGGCTTTACCGAGACAGTCACGTGCAGATGATCGAGAGTCGTCAGTTGAGAGCTCGAAGCGAAGGCTCACAGACAAACGCCTTGCAGCCCCAGGTGCCCCAAACCCCACGTAGTTGAGACAGGTTCCCTGCTTTGCTCCTGAGTGCTGCTTGCACCAGAGAGGCACAACCCAGAAACTCACATTCGTGCAGGAAGGCACATGTCAGGAGATCCTTATATTGTTGCGTATGTACACACGCTGGCTTGCTTATACAGCTCTCTCTCTCCCTCTCTCTCTCTCTCTATGTATACATACATGCATGCATACATACTTACATACATACAGATACATACGCACATGTACATATATATATATATATATAGTCAAATATACATATGGGCGTGTGTGTGCACACCTGCCTACATACATACATACATGCATATGTACATGCATACGTACGTACGTATACATACAGAACAATATGAGCAACAGCTGTAAACCAGTACATACATACACAATAGACTGTTTAGTGGAGCAGCATTTATCTTTAATTTCGCATCCCAAATATATCCTATTAGGTTATTCTTGTATCAACTGACGTATGTCCTAGTAAGCTTACCTTCAACTGAATCACTATAGATCCCTCTTAGATAAGTTTATCTTTAACGACAAGAAACCAGCCTTGCCAGGCCATGGCTCCGGAGAAGCAACCCGCTCGACCTTGGAGTCGTCTCCCGGCGTGCAAAAATCAGGAGCAGATTGGGGCGTGAAGGTTTAGGGGTTGGGGTTTAGGGTTTAGGGTTACAGTAGTAGTCCGCAGGTACTCATGTAAGTCTTGACACGAATGTTAATGTTAAGATGGTCGATAGTTCACTAAATTGCAGACTCTTAAACGGTCATCTGAGTGTGTACAGACATACACTCAGATGTGTGTGTGTGTGTGCGTGTTTGTATGTGTGTGTATAGATATATATACATACATATGTATCACACCCAAGCTCGCAGAGCAGGGCTTGCGTTAAGTCTTGCTGGCACAGAGGCAGACCAGGGCCAGAAACCAGTGTATTGTTGATAGTATCAATGTGGGGCGGGGTGGGCGGGGGTGGCTAAAATGATACTTTCACAGACATGCGTGCGGTCCTCAGGTACAGATGTCCTTTACTTATGTATACACATACAGGCCGAACAAATCCAAACAGTCTATGTATTTCACGACCTTCCCCATCCACATTAGATGCGCTCCGCGGTTTGGGTTGCCAGAGTTTGGATGGTCGGCACCTCTGCCAGTTCCAGGGTGTTTTCGGTTTCTTCCACATGAACTGTCTTATGCCTGCATGCATTCGTTCGTTTTGCCCACCAATTGAACTTGTAAAAACTTTGGGCTGGCATGTCGCGTTTTGTGTGGCAGTGCGGCTGTTTATCTTGTGTGCAGTTGAGTGTGACAGTGGCTTTTGCAATCCCTTTCGAGCCCCGTGCTTGACAAGAAGTAAGAAGAGTGCGCCCCAGGGCAGGACATCCCCCTGCCTGAAAGGAGGCTTGAAATGAAGTGACCTGATTGCAGCTTCCTAAGTCAATGTATCCAGGCTGTTTGGAATCATAACAGTGGGGGTTAACCTTTCAGTTGCCCCTAGAAACGTAGCAGCAGCAGCATAGTAACAACTTTTCGTCAGAGTTTTCAGTTTCCAAGCTCCAAGCCTGCTCAGGCATGTCTGTCATGTCGGGAAACTCGGGCATCTCGGCTCTATGATTTGAGCTGAAAGGTTTCTGTGAGATTAAGGACATCATTGTGCATCGTATGACGGGCAAAAGCATTGAACGCATGAAGAGGCCTATGAGAAGACATGGCGAGACGATGCAAGATGTATGAATTCTAGAAGGCACTAGAAGGCATACCCAACCAGAGTATAGACTATACTTAGTTGTTTCGACTTAGGCAGGGCAGGATCTGGGCGACGGTATGGCCTGGGTCGTAATATGTTCCGGCCGTGCGTGGCTGTGTGTAAACCGTATCACAACCTGAGGGTCTGAAAAGTGCGAACATCATCGAAGCTCCAGTCACGCGCGTTGGTATGATAACTTGGTGCTCCTGCGATGTGTTCTTCCCGCGGCCTGTGTTGCACGTGACGGTATCTTGTGCTGAAGTTTGTTCTTCGACTTTGACAGGTGTCGCGATGCTGACTCTGGAGGAGTGCCTTTCAACCCACTGTCAAACTGTTCAATCAAGGCGTTGGGGCCGGCACCAGGCCACAAACAGTAACGCTAGAAGGCAAAACTTGATGAAGCCGGACACACGGTACACACGGGTAAGCCAGCTATAGCAAAGGGAGTGGCGCGTGTGTCTCGCCTCAGCAGCAAGTCCGACATGTCTACCATAATTACAGAATGTTTCTCTTATGCAGGTATAATATGCTAGGTTCGGGATGTAGCATGCTGCAAATAGGAACCACTCATTTCATGCGGCCGAGGTTGGCCGCAAATCAACCTGATGTAGCAAGACATGTCTCTGCCGTCTGAACTGCGAGATGAGCCTCCCAATTTCTTTTCTTTGTTCTGGCATTACACCTTAACATCCATTGAGCCCGGCACGTTCCCCCTCCCCCCCTGTGGCGGACATGGTGCACAGGACCAACTGGCACCTCGCATCGAGCGAATCACGATGACGGCTCCTCATGGTAGCCGACTTCCTTCCCGCTCCTAAGTCTGAACTGCGCAAAATCTAATGGTTCAATTTTTGGGCGCAGAAGGGTCATCGCAAAGCTCCCAGCCCGTACCTCTGCGACAAACTCCAAGGCGGCTCCTTGGCCATCCAGGCGCACGGACGAAAGCTTTGTTGTCAGGATCAGATGTTATCAGGAAAGGTAGTGGGCAAGTTGTATTTCTGGGTCAGGGTCTTTCTGTATCGCCCGCTCAAAGAAGGCCGCTGTGATCGCAGATTCGGCTACTGCCGTCCTAGGAGTCGGACAAGACCCCGCTCATGCATGCAACACAGACCTCCCCCGGAGTGTTGGAATGAAGAGACTAGCACATAGACCGTTTTACCATCTTGTAAGTTCGAATCCAGACTTGCTTTTCCCGCTGGCTCCGTAGTGCAGGATGGCCTGGATCCATATCTCCACGGACACGGCTCTCAAAGAGATCTCGTGGCAGCAGCTGGCCCTTATTCGGCGGAAGTCCTGCAATGTGATCACCGAACCGGCCACCCCAAGCTACATCTGACATGTCGTTCATGTCCTCACCAGAACACATCCCAGAACCTTGCTCCCATCAACCATTACCAGCCTCAGGTTACCGCAGCAACCCAAAGCCCTTTCACATCTACAGCAAAGCCTATAGAAGGACCCATGCAAACGCCCAACACGACCCTGCGAAGAACCTCCTGAGGTCGTGGAGCGCAACCTCCAAGATGAAGAAGATGCGCGGATCGCGCGGAGACGCCCCGCCGGAGTTCGTTGTAGTCGGGATCTTTAAAGTGTATAAAAAGGTGTTGGGTTCAAGATTTTGAGGTTTTTAAGGTTCGGGGACTTTCGGCTTAGGGTTCAGGGTTGAGGGCTTTAGGACACTCCAGGTTTGTGCTTTCCGGGCTTATTAGGGTCTCAGGTTCTAGGATTTAGGGCTTCTCGGCTTGGGGCCTTAAGTTAAGGCCTGATCATAATCATAGTCATAACGCCGTTACAGGGGTTTAGGGTTTAGGGTTTAGGGTGGGTGATTGTAGGGGCTGTGAGGGGTCGCCAGCAGTTGCGCTCTCTCAGGGCCTTCAACACAGCCAGGCGCGACATGCAAGCCTGATGCAAAAAAGGGTGGGTGATTGTAGGGCCCCATGCAACAGATCAAGGAAGAATCGTGTTCCTAAGGCCAGATGCGCAGCGTTTCCCGCAGTTCCTCCCGGGGACCCCTGGAGCTGCAAGATGACGCCTGGCATGGCTTTTTTCAGGTATTCGCTTGCTGACATTCTTGGAGGAAGATGAAGTTACAAGTTCAGGAAGAAGCATGCGTGCACAACGCCGAAACTTGTTAATTAGAAAGCGAGCGAGAGAGAGAGAGAGAGAGAGAGAGAGATAGAGAGAGAGAGACAGAGAAAATGAGAGAGCACCTGACCCGTCCCTCGTGCCCAGTGGAAGAAGAGAGAGAGAGAGAGAGAGAGCAAGCCCATCCTTAGGGGGCCTGTTGGCATACTTACCTGTTTGCGCACTGTAAGTTGAGGGGTCTGGCCAATGACCCACAGATGTTGTGCTGCATAGGGGAGCCCATAACTGCCCTACTCTTTTACCTTGGTCGAACGTCATGATTCAGAGGGGCAACCCTTGACAGCCAGATCGTAGTGGCATGGGGAAACCCACTCGACGGACGGGACGATTATTGTTGAAATACTGTTGTTATATTTCCTTCGTTTTAGTGACACGTCTGTCTTTCTTCCGCGAGTTGCCTTGGTGGTGAAATTGCCATCTGCTAAGCCTCTCCGCAACAGGCGGGGGCGCTGACGCGCGTGGGTGAGGGGAGCTATCCCCTCTCCCTCAACCCTTGGGAAAGAAAGCAAGCCCATCCATTGAAAATGATGGATGGGGCAGCGCACTCGCGCGGGACGGGAGGGCTGCTCCCGCCCCAAGCCCTAAGCAAAGCAAAGAGAGAGAGCAAACCTGGAAGGCGGGGCAAAACTCTGGCCCCGGGGTAAACGAGAGAGTCCAAAAACAATCCAAAGACATTTCGGGTGTGGCGAGCCTGACCAGCGCCTCATGCCCGGGGAAGGGAGAGGGAGAGCGAGAGAGAAAGTGAGAGCAAGAGAGAGGGAGCCATGAAGTTCGTGGATGCACTCAAACAAGTAAGGTAGTACTGAGAGCACTCAAACAAAGTTTAAGGTTAAAGCTGTTAGGCTTCACAGTCCATGACATGGGTGCTGTATGCCAGGTTTTGGTGTTGGGTTCAGGGTCGGAGCTTGAGGGATTTGGGGTCTGCGGGCCTGGCCGAAAATGAGCAAAATGGCCAGTGATGCAAGATTCTGGCCTCGGTCGGATGCGTGATGACGGGTTTGTGAGAAGTATATAGAGTCCCAGCCACGCTCAGTATTCAAACATTGCGAGCAAGTCATGATGGGCATTCCGTACTCTTAGTTTCATACATCGGGTGCTGGGGAAGCACCTGCCTCGAGGAACCGTTGCTAGGTACTTCTATCAACATTTCTGGTGTTAGTCAAGCTCAGATTTAAATCGCAGCATCGCAACTCAGTTGCCGCGCAGCTCCACAGGTGCCTTATTTAAAGCTGAGGGGGTTTGGTCGATCGAGCATGCGAGGGTCCGGTTGAATCAATTCTGCGGAAATTGTTTTTTCAGCTGCAGATAAGCCAGATCTTCACCGTTCCCGCCCCGTCAAGAGCATCCGAGTCCTTGCTTCTTTGTCGCCATGCTAGTGCCTGTAGCCATCAATCCATCCCCGAAGTCTCGGAGAATTTCTTTTCACGGCAATATCCTGAGCCCGAGAGTTCGGCAAAGTTGTCAAGCACCCTGAAAGCAACAGCTACTGTGAAACTAGACCATTGTATGTCCTCTTTTGACACCTGAATCAATGCCGGCCTTGGCATTTGCGTTAAAGCGCGCAGTCCTCGGGCAGCCGTATACACTCTTGGCATGTCCGCTTATGCTTCGGGGTGTGCAGCTGTGTCCTGATTCCTGTAAGTCGCGGTGTTCGTGGGAGGGCAGGACAAAGCACTGCAAGCACCACCGTCCAGGTGAGGTTACTCCAGGCCGCCAGCTGGTCAGAGGGAACTCGCACCCTGTCAGTGACGAAGTAGGCAATATGTGCACGCCGCGCAGACAATGACAGAACTGATGCAAGGTCCATTCCTTCTCCGAGCTAAGTAACATCTCTTTGTAGGTTGTTTGCAGTTATTCAGCGGGGTACGTTCCTGGGCCTTCATACGGCCATTGGCAGACAACTGAATGAGACAGCTGGTCAATCCGTCGTCTTCGCAACTAAGAAATGTCTACTTCGGAGCCTCACGTTCACATTCAAAGTATTGCGACCAGGTGTTCCGCAACAGTTCGCAAACTTAGCTTCAAACAGCGCCGTGCTCGGGCGGCAGGACTACGGCTACGGAGATGTGGTGAACTGGTCTGCTGCACTCCTCCACAATGTCGATAAGTCATACACTCGTTATAACAGGTTTAGGATGAGCATCGAAGCGCCCAAAGCACCAATTGGCCCAGGCGGACGAGCTCACAACACACCAGGGTTACATCCCAATCGAGCGCCTCGTCATTCCAAGAGCCGCCTCGAAGTTTCATAACCTTGTACTTCACATCAGTGTTTAGGGTTTAGGGCTTATATAGATTTTAGAACAGAAGAACTACACACTATCGCAGGTGAGCGAAGGTAGCAACAATTTGCAAGGGCCGGACAGCCAGCATGCATCGACGTTGCAATCGGGGCATTGCTACTCAGAAACAGCCCCCAAAGCCAGCAGTACGAAAAACGCTTGAAGCAAGAGATAACTCTGAGGCGACAACCGCTCCTCTTCCCGTGACCGTGGGCCTTCGAACGCGCCTTCGCGGAGTAACTCGCGCAATCGGAGCGGCGCCATCGCCATCCGGAAGACGTTGCTCGGGCTTGACTACGTCGGATTCCTTCCACCACAGCAAAACTCAAGACTACAAGGGATCAACTACGATCATGACTGCAGTAGCTCTAACCATCCATCCAGGGGATTCGGATGGGAGGGTGGTTTGTAAGCCTGGTTTCGACGTTTCCAAGGCACCAGCATACTTGGTGCCTCTGACTTGCTTGTAAGTGAGCAAGCTGAAGTAATGCATCGTTCTTGTCACTTAGATCCAGCCCAGTATCGGATTCCTCACATTCCTATCGTTGGGCATGGGCTTCGAAAACCTGTAGTCAAAGCGACATAGGACACCGATGAGCTGAGGCTGGCTAGTGAGGGTGAACACAAGCTGTCGCAGCATCCGTCCTCACATGGCCTCAACATAAAATTCTGATTGAACGCCGCTGAGGAGTAACAGTTCCGTTGGCTCTTCACTTGCACTGATGGATCCGTGGCGCAGCCGTGGCTCAGCTAACCTTTAACGCCCAAGCCGTTGACCTTCTGCTGGGTTAGATACTCTCTTCCTCACTTCTCCTTCCTCCTATTATAGGAAAAAAGCTCCCCTGAGAGGCAAGAGCAACACTACAGTACACAATCGCAGCCGGGGAGACCCTGGCCACGCTTCAAGCTTAGCGCTTATCGGCTATATGGGCAGTTCACTAGGGCCCCTTCATGGCCGAAAAAAAGTGCGGCACCCTTAAAAGACCCTAATTTAGAGAACTGCCCATATAGGGCCCGGATCGTAGGGCCGTAGGCTTGAAGTTCCCATCTGCCTGTCCTTCCGTTTTGCCAAGACTGTCCAAAAGCGCTCCGTGTCCTTCTCGTCGGAAGAGTCCCGTGCTTGTTCAGCTCAATGTTTGTCCCTGCTCGGCTGTCCATCACATTTGGACATGAGGAATAGGAAGCTATTGACCCCTGATGTTCAATCTTTCTTTCACACGGAGGACGGAGGGCGGTGCTTTTAGTTTAGCACTGGCATTCTCTGCAAAGACTCGACAGACAGCGTGGGGTTTGAGCATTACGGGAAGCCCAAACTTTTTTCAGACATGCTAAACCGGAATTCCACGAGTCCCGCACCAAAACGAGCCGGCCTTCCATTTCCGTAGAGTGTAGAGACCCGCCAGCCGTAGATGGTCTGGGAAGCATGAGAACCACGCACGACAAGTCCTGAGGTGGCTCTCATCGGCCCCCGTCCGTTGGTGGTAACAGTCGCCGTGGGTCGAAGGCTCCAGTTGAATTCCTTCCTAGCGCAGGGCAGGGTTTAGGTATCCATTCGGAACAGTTTATGCGGGGTACCGGGCTTGAGAAACACATCTCCACGAATCCAGATGTATCGGTAGATGCCAAGGAAGTTCAAGGCTTATAGGAACACAGCCAACAATCTGCACCTTCAGCTTCGAGTCGCTGTTCCTTCCCATCTAAAGATGTGCACTACAATGCACACTGCATCTCGAAGTGTCGTGCTTTCAAACTGTGTTCATCTTGTATTCTGAGAATCTGTGCGTGCACGTGGCTGAGAGTATGTATGTACCTGTATATATGTGTATACTTGCGTATCACGCGCACACACACACACTATACATTATTAATCTGTATATATATATATATGCATCTATGTATATATAGTTTGTTATTGCTTATTGTTCATCTGTTTGTTTACTTATTTGTACATGTATACCCAGGTCTCCCAAAACAGCCAGACCCCCAGCCAGTCGCCAGGCCTCTGCTACCAGCCGAACATCCTCTGCCACGATGGCGGAGGTCCTACAGGGCCATAACTGGACAACATAGGGCTTGAATAAACGAGGACTAACATCCCCGTACATCCCCTATATACGAATCTCGAATCTACTCCGAAACCCTCTGCTTCACTAGGGACACAGCGGGCAGAGGAAGTCCGCACCTTGTTTGGAGGGTCGTAAGTCACTCGTGGCTAAACTACTTCTCCTGATCCTGTCGCTCTGCGTTTCCCAGTCCAGCAACCTCTTTATGTGGACTCCATTGCTTCATCTGTACCGGACATCATTGTTGAGCAGTCATTGGCTTCTTCCGGGCTCAGACGCTGAGCCTATAAACACCCACCGCCCGAAGCCATAGAATCAGGAGCAGAAGCCGAAATTCCCGCCACCTCGGGATCGGAAGCTCTCTTCGGGTGCATGCTTGGGCCACCCGGCTCAGCGAGCATGATTTGTCTATCGCTGGCATTTGCCGCTTCAAGGCTTATTCGGGGGTTCACAGTTTTAATTGCATGCTAGACAGGGTTGCAAGAGATCCGTGGTCCAAGTCCATGCCCTGTGTCCCATGGTGTCATGCATAGTAAATTGAGAGAGCAGGGTTGTTCGATGCTCCAGCGAACTCATGACAGGAGGCATGAGTCCTGACTAAAACATTCGTTGTCTGGGGTTCCTGGTGAAAGAACCTTCGAAATCTGAACAAATCTGGGACACCCGAAGTTTAATGGGACATTCCAGTTCACAGCTTTTGGAGCTTTGGAACAGAAGCGGTCGTTGTGGCTTGAATCGACGTTGGATGCAGCTCGGGCACCTTGATCAACTACCGATTCCCGTGCACATGCATTCTCATCGGTACCTTCAGGAATTGACGAAAGCATCCGAACGAATTCTACATGGACCTCATCAACATACACCATATTGGGAAACCCTGCTTTACTCTACAACAACTTGCATGTCTATCTGCGAACTAAAACTGATTAAAACCTTGAATTCTAATCGCTAGGCCGTGTTGCTAGGTCTAGGCAGGAGGGAACAGCACATTGCTTGTCCGTTGCTGTGCCTTTTGCCACGTGGCACTATGTTGCTCCCCTGAAGCTTGCACCTCGCTGACCCTGTGTGGGTTCCCTAGGGTGTGACGTCGTCAGAAAAGCGGGTGTGAAAAAGCGCTTGACCCAAGCAAGACCCTCAACCCGCGAGCACTAGGCTTGGACATCACGGCCTTCGAAAACGCTCGGCGAAAGTCTTTGGCCACGCCGCTGCAGCTGCAGGTGGGGAGCAAAGGGTCAGTGCGACTGTTGGTATTCATGATCGCGACATGAAGTCTGAAGTGGATGTTCATCGTAATTGTGATGTTGATGGTAATGATAAGGACAGTGATGGTGATGCCGGCGACAATGATGATGGTGAGGATGCTGGTGACGACGGTCGAGCTGATGGTCACGATGGCGGTGTGATGATGACTATATGCAGGTCGCCATCGTTTAGGGTAAGCGCACGTTGCCGTCTAAGCCGCATTGTCGTGCTCTCAGGACCAAGTGTTTGTCACTCCTGGGTCTTGCTGTGGCTTCTTTGGTACATGTTTGTATGGCTCAAGGCTGACATTCGCACTACAGGCCTGTTTTCGTTAGTGGATGCATGCATCTGATCCCTGTGCCAGAGTTGTAGTCGTCCGCTCACAGTTTTTTTTGTGCGCGGCACTGCTATTCTCAACCTTTTAAATGCAGAATGACTAGCGGTTGGCTCCGAAACGTTTATCCTGCTCCATGTCGTGACGAGAACTGAAGTGACTATGATTCATCATCACTTTAAAAGCGGGCCTGACCGTCACGTGAACGTTGTCTGGTTCCTCTTCTGCTTCGAGACATGTAAGGCTCTAAAAGGCTCTTCAAGTGACCTGTCGTACTGACTCGCCGTGGTAAGGAGCATGATGCCATAGTCGTGATGAAATTCAAAATTCAGTGTAGCTGCTTTCATCCGCCAAGCTGCTACAGTCGTCAAGGGCCGGAGGTGCGTAAACAAGCAGTACATAAGGCCCCCCTGCAACAGGTATAGGCATTCAACATTGGCTTGAGTTTTGCGCTTCGACAGTTGACGAAGATCAGCACTGTTTTTGGTGGCGCGTAGCTGGGCATCCAAAAAGCCTCCCCAGTGGCCGGTCCAACTGGATGATTAAGAGCCTTTGGCCGAAGTCGGGTTGGTGTTCGTAAGTTGCTTCAACACTGGACGCCGGGTGGCACAAACTATGACGTGGTTTTCTGCGCGGAGCTTATACAGAAGCAGAATTGCCCCACCCCCCCACCCCCCGCCCCCCTCTCCGGCAGCTTCCTGCCCGATGAGCGTCCGACTCTCCTTTGGTGCTTGCCCGCGGTGCAGGTCCGGGCGTTGAAAGAGGCCACTCCTGAGGAGGCGCTGGACACATTTGAGTGCAGAGAGCAGATCAAGCATTCGATCTTGTTGCGGGGTTCGCAGACTGCAAGTGGCATGAGGCTCTGGGGCGGTGCTTTCGGAATAGTGAATTCAGAAGCCTTCCGCACCTGCAGTTTCATGACGGTGCCGCCTGGTTCTGGGTTCAGGAAATCTGGCGCAAAGCCATCCCCGCGATGATCCTTTGCAAAGTCTCCGTGATTATTCTGCATGGGATCAGCGTTCGTCCAAACCCTTCCATCCCCCAGACGAGCTCCATGTAACAGCCCGTCTTGTGAACTCTCCAGGGGCGACCGTCTTCGCAAGTCATGAAGCGGCGTGCTTCCATGCCAGCAAGCAAGGAGGAAGCTGAGGCTGTTGGTCTTTCTGCTGGAAAGGGGAGCTAGCTTATGATTGGAAGCAGTTTAGGTCCGGGTGCGAAAATTGGCATTGAGTTATGTTGTACTTGGATTAACCGGGTTTCTACTCAGGCACAACTCGTTTCTCGTGGTCGACAAATGCCCTCACAGGAAGGGTCTTGATCATGGACGGCCCGACGGCCCTTTTTCGCCACCACAACCTGTAGTCTTCAAAGTTCTAGCCGATTTTCTAGGTATATTCGCATTGTGGCTGTGGCCTGCGCTGTTCAAGCGGCCGCACATGAACAGCACAACGCTTCAATCCGAACCCAATACGACCACTCCAGCAGCAGAGCGAAAACCCGAAGGGCATGAAAATATTTAGTTTGTCTCTGCAAAACTGTTCTATATAGTCCGGGGTTGCCATTAGGTGCGGGGACGTTCGGAGTTGGGCCATTGGCGATTGAAAAGGAGCAGTGCATCCTCGACTCCGATTCTGGTTTAAGACATCCCTAGACTCTCGATCTCTTGATGCTAAGGAAGGGCTGGGCTGAAGGGCTTTTGTGCTGTGCACATGCACGGATGCATTGGGGCTTCAGATGATCTTAAGATGATGGCATTGCACTTTGGCCGCAGGCACAGGCCAAGGCCAAGCCACAGCCCATGCCGAGCTTTCGAGATTCGATGAAGAACAAGGCCTGGTCTGAGGTACTCCGTTTTGATTCCCAATTGTGGTGCACTGCGACCTCCGTGTTTGCGTGCAGAGTTTGGAGGCCAAGAGCTTGACAAGTGAGCACACTGGCCAGTTCATGTACATGTCAGTCAGTGTTTTGGCAGGCTTGGGTTGTGTTTTCTTTGCTGTTCACGGTTGGATTGGGCTCAGCCTTCTGGGAATCGGTTTGGCTCTCATGCTGCAACGATCTTGCAAGTCAGAACTTCCCTAGACGCGACAAAAGCAAGCTGAGAAGCGTGCACAGGCTCGGGAGACATTCCTCCGAAAGCGCAAGACCAACTCGGGCTCCAGGATCACTGTTGACAAGGTCTCGCGGATTCAGGGTTGCAAGGCATTGCAAGGCTGAAGTTGAGACAGAGATTAGCCTTCAGGCTTCAGGATCAGTTTTTCCAGCCTGCCGTACGGCTTCGAGTTCGAGGCATGCGGTGCCGACACCGGTAGAGAGGGGTTAGGTCGGTTAGGTCTTGTGCCTTCACTGGTAATGCGCCAGGATATTCCGGTATTCTTAACATTTGACGGCTAGGAAAGCTTAATGCTGACGGGAGAGTCGTGTCGCAACTTCGCCCTGCGCCAGGCGCCCTCCAACCCCCCACGAAACGCCTGAGCTCCCAAAGCTTAGATCAGATCTGGCTTGTCCACGGCCGAATTGCCGGGAGTTTGCAAAACAAACTATGACTGACGGGTATGAGATGTTACGGATGTTGGTCGTCATTCCAAGTATGTTATGTTACACATTGCGTCCTGAGCCCAGTGAGTCGACAGACTTCTATCAGGCACTAGGCGGTCTGATTAATACTAGAGAGAGAGAGAGAGAGAGAGAGAGAGAGAGAGAGAGAGAGAGAGAGAGCAGCCCAATCCCAACTTCATTACATATGGTACTCCTATAGGTGTTGCAGTAACGCTGTGTCCTCGTTTTGCAACAAAAGCGGGCGCACGTTTCCAAGACAGAACATGAGCCGGGGGAAACCAATACGTACAGCCCCAAGCCCAATACCACGTGATGAGTTATGTCCTTTACACAGGTTGCATGCGGTTGGTGTTCGGATCCCGTGAAAGACCTGGGCCGGGGAAACATGCACACAGGGGGAAATGCCCCTGTCAAACTATGATAAGAAAGAAACGTGCAGCCATATCCCAACTTTGCTACACATGGTACTCCTGTAGGTGTTGCAGTACCGCTGTATCCTTGTTTCGCAACAAAGGAAGCTGCACGTTTCAAAGACATATACATGAGCGCCAGTCCCTGCTTCGTGTAACTCCTGTCACATGGACCACAGTTTGTTGTAGCTAACGTCATGCTCTTGTTACCTGCCCCTACACTGAGCAGGGCAGATGAACATGTGTAGCAGGCGTGCCCAGAACAAATCGAGAACTGCAACCTATGTCTATCTTGTACATCGGGTTTGAATGTTAAGGCATGCCTTCCGTGTCATCCTGGGGGGAATAAACCTCCCTATACCGCCTCCCACTGCCCTCGATGGAGGCGACTGCCGACTGTCCGAAACATGTTATGTCCTCTTCCATATTATCCTCGGGGGTTGAACTACGGACAGTCATGCATAGCAGGGGGAGCAATGTCCTGGAGAGCATACGTACTCCCTCGGCCACTACCGTAATACAATTAGTTCACGTTACTGGGAGTACTATGCTCGTTTCTCACACCCCTATCCTGCATTAAAACAATGCGGGTGGGCCTGTGGCCCGGGGGTCTTGACCGACCNNGACCCTCATGCCCGGGGGAGAGAGAGAGAGAGAGAGAGAGAGAGAGAGAGAGAGAGACTCTAAGGTGGACAGCATCGAACAACACACCAACGACCTGGGGACCAGACTGGACCTTTTGGAGGGGAAGTTCGCCACAGCACAGTTCAGTGTCAACAGCAGCACGAGGGGATCCGAAGGTTCGACAACGGAACCCACTCGCCCCGCTCTCGTCTTGGGGGGATGGGCGGCTGAACAAGCCGCATCTGAAACCTTACGACTTGTGAAGCAACATGTGGCGCAACTGGAGCTGGACCTTGACATGGACGAAGCTTTTGTTCCAGGCCTGAGGCGCGGCTTCGCCATACTCCCTTTGCAAGCTCGCCAGGGGGAGACCCAAATGCAACTCCGCGGCAGAATCCAAGCAGCACTGGCTGCCATCAGGAATGCCAAGATTGTCACGGGCCCCCGGCCTGAAGGGGGAAACCGCCACTTCTTCGCCGCAATGAGCCAGCCTCTGGAGCGACGACGGCGAGCACAGTTTGCTGGAAAAGTCAAGAGACTGGTGCTGGAGGCAGGGGGAAGACATTCCGCCCTGGAAGTGGAGTTCGGGACAGCCAACGTCTGGTATAACGCCGTGAAGATTGCATCCGGAGTCACCACTGCCCCAGAAGGAGCTGAAGCAGGGACAGGGGGATGGATTAACCTTCCCCCACTGGCTAGACAACTTGGCACCTCGGGGGATACGCTGGAAGCAGCATGGAAGGAGCTCCGAAAGGCGCTCAACTGAGACTCCAAAGAAGCTGAACGATCGTTTCACCAACAGGGAAAGACTCCCTCTGCGATGCACTTCCTCAGTTGGAATGTGGGTGGCCTTCAACCTGCTAATGCACTACGAATGCTAGCTGCACTCCGACACGCACGAATTCAACCCTTTGGCGACAGCTTTGTGATTCTTCTTCAAGAGATCATCACAGACTCTGGCAAACACTTTGCGGAGCTTGACGACATACAACTTTTCGCGGCGAAGATAGGAACAGAGTGGAGGGGGACCGGGATCGCACACACAGACGATGTCCAGAAATCTGCCTGCAAATTGTTGCCCTGCAGCACTTCGTGTACTCTTCAGATCGGGGATGTTAAAGTCGCCGCGATTTCCCTACACATCCCGCACCATGCTAACCTGGAACAGACGGGGACCATCCTGGAGTCCGTGCAACACCAGATGCAGCGACAACACAAGACCGTGCTGGGGATGGATGCCAATGAAACATTTGTGGTGCGGGGAAACAATGGCTATGACTCCGAGACGGGCCGTGGGGAAATGATCCTCGGATGGCTTGAACGAGTTCAGCTTATCCTTCCCGACCAGAACATCGCCAAACCAAGCTACTTCCCCTACAACCCTCGTTTTCAACCAAGGCGACTTGATTACATTGCGCTCGGGCACCTACCGGCCATTTTTGGAGATGTTCTCGAGCAAAGGGATGTTGCAGGATCGGATCACGAGCCCATCCATGTAGGCATCGCCATCAAGACCACCAAAAAGGACTATACAACAAGGGCACCAGAATGGGGGAGCCGGCGATTACGGGGACCAACCGTGGTCGAGCAGATCCTCAAGGCGCCCATGGCATCCGGAGATCCGCTGGAAGCGCTCAAGCGAACCGCCATAGCGATTACAGTCCCGGGGAAAGTCCTCCCTCACTTCCAAGAAAGCCAGCACCTCAAAGACCTCCGGGGGACGGCTATGCGAACTCAAGGTGGACAAGAACGACGCGCCCTCTGGAAGCAAGTATGCCGACTCCATGGTCAAGAACATCGCAAATGGCGGCAGAAGCTGCTCGACCGAACAGCAATTGGCGACTGGGGAGCGAAGAAAGCACTGGCCCAGTCAATGCGCAGCCATGCGTGGGAACTTCCACTCACGGATGACCCTCAGTGGCAGAAAACACTGACCGAGCACTTCAAGAACATCTTCCAAAAGCAAAACAGGGGGATCGTTGAAGCCAAGTTTGCCCAGATCGACCGGCGCCTGGAGAAACTTTGCAAGAACGCCCCGTGGACTCCGTTCAGCATGGAAGAGCTCATTAATATCCGCAAAAGATGGAAGAACGGTCGAGCATGCGGCCCAGACATGGTCTCGCACGAAGCCATGAAAGCCATGTTGCAGCACGAACCATGGGGGGAGAAGTTGCGCGAGCTCTTCAATGACATCCTCTACACGGCCCGCATACCGCAGTCAATCGAGAGGGGAGTCAGCATCCTCTTAGCCAAGACCAACAGTCCAGGTGATTGGACGGAAACAAGACCGATAACATTGAGCTCATCCCTGCTCAAAGCCTTTTCTCAACTGCTCCTTCAACGTGCAGGGGGAGATGTGATGACACCGGCGCGACTCCAGTGGTCGAGGAAAAGCCGACAAGGCGTAGAGCTGCTGATGATTTTACGGAGAGTATGTCGAGTTGCTTTCGACTTTGGCCTGGAAATGTTCGTAACGAAGCTTGACATCCGTAAGGCATTCGACTCAGTCTACCAGGAAGCCATGGCAGATCGCATCGAGGAGGATGTCGCGAGGAAAGGTGCAAAGCCATGGGAAGCACGAGCATGGGTGGCGCTTCTGCGCTCCGATAAGCTTACCGTCAACTTCCGGGGGACCACGCTGCTCTTGGACCAGACCAATGGAGTACGTCAAGGAAGTCCTGACAGTCCCGTGGCATTCGGATCCGTGGTAGCCAGGGACCTCGACGACTGCATTGGGCAAGCCAAGAACGCTAAACCAACAAAGGGGGACCCTCCTCCTGAAGACGGCGGCAGCTACATGGATGATACGTACATATGGTCCATGTCCCGCGCACATATGCAAAAGATGCTGGACTTACTGGGAGAACGACTACCACAAAAAGGCCTCTTCCTGCACCCGGGGAAGGTCGACATCATCAGCAACAAGACGCAAACCTCCTTTAGAGTCGCCGGCAAAGACGTTCCAACGAAAGGGAAGGACCACATTATGACGGTCCTGGGTAGCCCCATGGCGTTCCACCTCACGCCAGCCGTTGTCATAGCTTCGATGCAGACCCGGGGGAGGAAAGCCTTCTGGACGCACCGGGGGGAGCTCATGGCGAAGGCACCAATTTCGAAAAAGATGGTGTTGCATACGATGTTGGTACGCCAATCAGCCCTATGGGGCTGCGCCACGTGGCCATGTCATGCACAAATCTTGAAGCAAGCGAACTCCATCCAGCTTGCTCATATCAGAGATATGTCGGGGGTGCGAAGGGGGGATGGCGAAGATTGGGCCACCTGGAATCAACGCACACTGCGACGAACCAGGGGGATCCTCTTTCGCCATGGAATCACCAAAAAACATCCTGCAGCCAGCCGATGGTCTACATTCATCCTCGAACAGATCTGGGGACTATTGGGCCACATGTGCAGGGGAGACCCCGTCGGGGAAAAACTCCTACGCTGGCGCTGTCTGGCATGGTGGAATGCAAACCGACCACCGTACGGCAACATCCGGCACGCGGGGCGCTTCAATGCATACATGGACATCGACAGGCAAGTTACATCGGTAGCGGGGGAGAATTGGCACACAGTTGCGATGGA